GTCAAGCAACTGTTGAAGACCTAGCTCTAAATACGGAAATTTCAGACATAGAAATGTTAACAGATCACAGTATTGACGTGCAACCCTTGCACACTGGCACTTATGCCAAACCCTCGAAAAAGTCTAAGCTGAATTCAGTTGTACACTCTGAATCTCTCGGGAAGTCATATACCGCACAACCTCTTAGCACGGCAACTGTGAAGCAGCAATCACATGTGGCCACCCAGGTAGGCGTAAATACAAGGTGATATGATAAGCGTCCTATTTCCGTTAGGAACACCAAAAGAACTGTTGATACTATTCAACAGAAATCCAGTTTATTGGGAAATCCTAATGATCACCAGCAGCCCAAATTACACAAGCCGAATAATACGGAAAAGGCTAAACCGAACGTTAGACCCAGAACACTAAAGCCCATAATTACGAAAGCTTCGAATGGGTCACTGGCTCATTCTACTGGTGGACAATCATCTAAACTTAGTCATGTTCCTGAAGTTAGACGTAATTCACATACCGTAGGAGCTTACTCATTTCCGACTTCCACTACTAGTCCTGTGATAAGAAAAAATAATCGTCACATTTCTCACCAAACACTTCGAAAACACGAAGTTGCTCAGCCCCTCACGAATGCACTCCCAACCATGATGTACAGGAAACACCAGTTTGAGAATACAGACGTTAGTCCAAAAACACGTATAGCGCCCTGTCATAATTCTCATGCATTCAGTAGGAGTCACATGCCAATTTCAACACAATGCTCATCATGGCCTAGGAAGTTCTCTAACCAGACACAAGGATCTAAGTCATATGCACACAACAACACGCCGACCACCCATTTCGGTTATAACTATGCAGACTACATGACTCTAGCCAACCCATATGACCAAAATTTTCTCCAGCGACAACTGGCAGAAACGCCTGGGATCATGCACATAGCACAAATGATGTCAGACCAATTCCTTGCTGGTATAGCAAACACCTTACAACAGGGAAGCTGCTTCTTCCCCGACAGATAGCAAACACTTTATACACACCTAATACCAATAGTAATACCTTAGATTATCATACTAGTATCTCCCATAGCACGCAATATCTAAACGACCAACCACTCACGAGTGACATCTCACAACCCATCCCTAAGTATCAAACTAAAGAAAACGTCTCTAGTGATCAAAATGTTGCAATTAATGAATCCAATAACGACTGCACATATTCAGCTGATAACCATAGAGCATTTTATTATGATATTGCCCATACACTAAAACCACTTAGTCAGAGTCTATCAGTCATCCTCATAAACGCTAGATCAGTTCTTAACAAACATTTAGCATTATGTACGTTAGCCTCTATATGCAATCCGTCGCTGATCATGATCACTGAAGCCTGGTGCTCAAGTGATATTACGGATGATAGCTTATCAATTGATAAGTACAATCTTTTTCGAGGGGATAGGGAAACAGGTCGTGGGGGTGGAACACTCATATACGTTAAACAACCCATTTGTGCAACGCATTTTAGTCACCCTATTCTGTCACAACTTAATGATTCGGTGTGGGTCGAAATAAAAGTTCTCAGAAGTAAACCTATCCTTATAGGGTGTGTATACCGACCGCCATCATCCAACCGCGAATACGATAACGTACTCAGCAACGTATTTAGTGTTGCATCCAATCTTCCCTTCAGTTATAATATAATTGGAGGTGATTTCAATTTGCCTGATATATCATGGCGTACACTTCGTGGACCCTCGAGGTATGATAATCTTCTTAATTCCATCATTACAGGAGGATGGACACAACACATAAATGTACCCACTAGGTCCGATAACATCCTTGATCTTATATTCACGATCAACGTAGCACCATCTACAATTCATGTGGGACATGAATTCCCAGGTAGTGATCATAAAATAGTTGCATGTTCGTTTAATATTTCTCCAGAAACCATACACAGAAACAAAGTTATTCCGACACCTATAAGACTATACACGCAGGTTGACTGGGACTTGTATCAGGACTTGATTAGATACTCTAATTGGGATTCCTACTTTACCAATGACTCCTTAGAGGAAGTCCTTAAAAACTTCTATGACAATATACAGTCGGTTAATGATGTCATAGCGCCTGTGAAACTGATTAAATTCAAAATTCCTCAAGGTGATTTTATTCCAATATCATTAAGAAGAAGTATGCGGAAGCATTCATTAAGTTACTACAGACATGACGACTTATCGTCGTTAATAGCTATCAAAACAATCCTCATTAGAATCCATGAGTTAAAAAATCTAAGTCTTAGAAATAAAGAGACGCGGGCAATTCAGTCGCCACATAACACTGGAGAAATGGCCAAACTCTTTAAAAGTAGGTTAACTAACTCCAAATCAACATATCCAAAAATAATACACCTAGGTGGCATTACTCACGAAAGTGATGAGGATATATGTGAGGT